GAAAACATTATTTTGAAAATCATCTGAAAACACATGGTAAGATTACACAAAAACACAGAAAAAACAGATATTGTACTCTCCGTCATCAGCATTTTCCATGAACTGTTATTTACACAGACGTGTATGTAAAAGTAATTCATCACGTCTATTGACCATACATTTTTGTGTTCCAGTAATTTAAAGCTGGCCTTGAATAAGTGTACCTTGGCATGATGAAGCAATCTTACTTAGGTTAATAGCAATGGCTGACTCACTGAAAAGGTCTCAAGTTTTTATATCTATCCCAACACATGGTTAGGAACCTCAAGTTATAATAATAATATCAAATAACTGTTAATGAAATTTGATGGACAGGGTTGATTCTTCAGAGTAAGACACTCCTCACAGGTATGTATTAACATAAGAAAAAAAATAGATTTGAATTGATACAGTTGCCTCAAAGGCCCAGCGACTTTGTTTTGTATAAGTCTTAGAGAACACTGCCCACTGAAGCTTATTTTATGGTTTATGGCCAGCAGAATCTGACAAACAGAACTGTAAATCCTTTCAGTGTCCTGCATGTGATGCATGTTTTACTAGTGCACCTACCTTAAGAAGACATGAGTTGGACAAACACCACAAAGAAATGGAACCCATCTTCCTTGTGGATGAAGAGAGGGGGATTTTTGTTACAGCACAGAACAAGTCTGGACCACGGACCATAAGACAGAGTAAAGCATTTCAAGTACCACCAGCCACCTCCTCTGCTGCAGACTACCGTAATTGAGGAGATGTTCGTAAAGGGGCTGATTTCCAGCACTACTAAACAGGAATGAACAAACCTAAATGAGACAGCCACACAGGATGGGACTCCATGTGTATATCCTGTGTTTTTTGATGAACACGGATATTCAGGCAGTAAAGTAAACTTGTACACATCAAATGTGGACAGTTGGTGTCATTTTGGCAGAACAAGAGTGACACTGGACACTGGAAGTGGAAAGTGGACATTTCGCTGCAAAAGCACAAAGAGAAGAATGTGTCCACATTTGTCTCATTGTGTTGGACCTCCCAGGAAAGACACCTCCTACGTGACAGTGACAGGGACGTGGACTTTAGTAGTAGTGACACTGACAACGATCTCTACAGTGAAGATATGGAGCCAGGCCATTTTGAAAGTGAAAATCAAATTGGTTCAGAACAGATTAAAAAAAATTGTAGAATACTACTGTGTAACTACAAAAGAATGCCTCCCAAACTACCAGAAGAGTTGCAAAATAACACAGCAAACATCCCACAGAAGTTCTCACCTGAGGAAACCAAGTGCCAAAAAGGTTTGTCTGCTGAAATTACTGGTTTTATATTTTTTTGATATGACAAATAGTATACCTTTGGTCTCTGCAGGCACCCCAGTCGATAGAAGTAGGGTCTATATATACAAACAAATCCACTATATCCTGTAACAATTTATGTTTCCCTTTTAGGTATATATATCTATCTATATATATATATATATCTACATCAAAACGTGCCCTGTCTGCATAATACCTGTCAGATTTCAGAATTACGTGACAGACTTCCACAATTTGTTATAGCCAGTAGTATTCTCCTCCTTGGTTTCCCTGTGTCTGTGTGTTTGGACTCCTCCACTCTGCTTGATTACATGTCCCCTGTCTATCTGCTCAAACTCATCAGCCCTGCAGTATTTAAACCCTGGTTCTCCATCCACTCTGCGCCAGATCGTTGATTCTTCAAGCCTGGTAGTGACTTTCTTGGCCAAGTTAGAGAACTTAAGAAAAGTGTTTTTGCTATGAATGTTAACCTTGTTTTTTCCCGTGTCTCAGGATCATACCCTCCACTACAGTTACCTGCCCCGCTGCTTCCTGTCTGCCATGCTGACTCTATCTTCAAGTTCCACTCTGCCTGGGTCTAAGCCATATTCTCTCACCACTGCCAGCAGGAACTACCCCTCTACCCTCATTACTGAGGGTAACATGGTCCTTTTTGTCATTCAATTAGAAACACAAAATAGCACTAATTTGTACAGTAAGTATAGAACAACTAATTGCTTGATCTTTTAACAGACCCGCACAGCTATTGGAAGATTCATCAG